TCCGCAGGTGGCCTGGTATGCATCGTCATGGATCATTTCTTCGTCCATCTGCATGTGTTTACCCTGGTGGTGGGCAATCCAGTGACCCAAGAGTGGAGCGAACTACCAACGCTCCATCGACTCAGGCCACTGGTGCTACATCTACGACTGGGCAACACACGTCTGGTCTTCTCTCCCCAACCTCCCGTTCTCACAGAGGGAGGAGCGTCACTGGTTTGATGATCGGTCTGTATTCCCAGACTTCTACGACCTTAGTATCCTGGGATTGTATGACTTTCGCCGCACCAAGTGGATCACAGGGGAAGTCGTGCGCAGCCTGAGGATTACAACGGGCCTGGAAGGGGTTGAACAAAGTGGAGAGTTTCTGCGCTGCGTATTGCCACGTCCCGGTTGGTGCACGACAATGCTGTGGGAGTACAATGGCCAGCGCTACTTTGCAAGCGCCTGGATTTATGTGCATGAGGGAGACTACTACAAGGTAGGGTACTGCAGAGCTGATGGCTATGGTGTGTGGAAGGTTGATGACAATGGCGGTTTGGTTATAGTCTCAGCAGTGCTCTGTAAAGCCCTGCTCGATCAAGTGTATCCTGGGCAGTCTCGAAATTTTTGTCGTTGTTATATTCATGCAGAGGACAATCTCGTCATCTTTTCGGAAGGAAAAGTGTTCGTTTACGACCTGGACACAAAGCGTTGGGGTGGAGTGGGCGGGCGCACATATGAATCAGGCAAGGGAATGCTTGATCACCCATCGCTCATGACACTCGTGGAACTCTTACAATCCACATGTCATCCCAAGTGACGATGAAATTCGCCCTGAGAGCAAATATGCCGGAATGTTCTACACAATTTTCGGGTTTTTAGCATGCTGTGTTGGTTGTGGGCGAAAATGACGTGGTCAGAGATCAGATTCAGGGTGGAAGGAGATCCCTACGGAAATGCGGAAAGCAGTGAAGACCTTGCGGGATCAAGTGAAGATCTTCAGGACCATGGTATAAAATGCCAGCAGAGAAAGCGAGAATGGCGAGGATGGAAGAGGCACCCCAGCCCTAGCACTTAGAGCATCTCTCTGAGAGGATCCCCAATGTTCTCGAGGTTGATTTTGCCAAGCTCAACGATCAGACAAACTATGCAGGATTTAATTTCCCGTGCTAATTGGCATCTGTGTGATCAAACGCATTCTCGTGCAATATTGATGGATCTTTAAAGGAAGTATATACTCGAGAATTTAGGCTACCATGTTTTAAACGAATCTCTATGTCGCGCCTTGCGCCCGTCATCGGGCGTTTGTGTCGTCTGTAGCAGCAGAATCCGAGACGGAAATATCGCCGCATCGCATCACCGCACAAAATTCAATGAGTCATACGAGGAACTGTAGTGTAAGATCTTTTTGGAAGTTTTCTCAAGCCTTGAGCTTGTGTTCTTGACTTGCTCAGTGAGCTCACGGAATGGTTATGGCGGTCCAGACACTCTATCCAGACGCTAAAGTTACAATTGGGCCATGGATCGAGAACGACTTCGATCTCAAAGAACCACTGTCAGACAAAGATTTGAAGAAGATAAAGATGGAGATGGTAAGTTTTTCTTAGGATCGCATCATTATGGAATTGCTTGGCAGACGGAGATCAAACGCAAAAGGAGGAAGCCAGGAGACGTGATCACCGTCGACTTGGCCTGTTCTCCTTGTAAAGATCCAAATGCCCGCTGGTCTTCCACAGCTCAGCCTTGGGAACGTAAGGTGTCTAGAGTAGCTTGTATCCTCGTCTTAGGTGAACTTTCTTCCAGTAGTCTTCGATAACTAGCTCCTTTAGACGAGACCGCCCCAGCGTCCAAAGTTGATGAGATGAATAAATATCATCGCAAGAAAAACCTCCATCTGGATTCAATCCAGATGGAGGTTTTTCTTGCATGATATTTATTCATCTCAATTTGAGAAAAGCTCAAGGTCTTTATCATCTGCAGTCGATGAACTGATCCGTTCCACATCCAAATGTACAAGGACAGAGTGAGGATCAATCGACTTCGTGGTTTTTCCTCGAGGGAAGTGGTCTTGAGAAATGGCAACCATACATAGCCGTGGAGGCGGCAAACCAGAAGGGAGGTACCTTTGCCGCTTTCCAGTTACTGTTTGAATCTCACCCGGATGTTCTTGAGATTGATTTTGTCAAGCGCAACGATGCATTCCGTCAAGTTTTATGCAGAGGACAGACGAGAAACTAAAATCTTTGTTCGTCTCGCGTACAAAATAGCTCCTCCAGTGCTAACTATGGTCCTGTGGCCATTGGCGCCCGTGTGATTGGTCTCTTCGCTTTCCTTGCAATGCCAAGGAAAGCTAAATTCGCGACTTGAGTAGTATATTCTGTTTTTAAAAGAGATCATATACTCGGCATAATTTTAAAATAACTAGGGCAAGGGTTTTGGGAGGAGCATGAAGGTGTTGCATTTGATGAGGCACGCTCAGGCCTATCATAACGTGGATGGAGATGTCAGCCTCCATCGCCTCTTCTTCCGCGGCGAATGGCGTCGCCTAACACCCGGCCTTCTTCTCCGCGTGCTGCGACCTTTGTTTATCACATGGTTTGTAACATCTTTCCTTTGCAGCACAAAATCCTCCAAGAAATCCTTCGACGACGATGATCGCTTCGATGCCGTCCTCACTCCTGCTGGATGGGAACAGGTACTTCCTTGAGCTTTTCTTCTTTGCGCTGTGTTGTGGTTTTTGGATCTTCTTCTGCTAATTACCTTTGACAAAAAAATCAGGTGGCTACACTCCGCAAGATCGTCCGAGAAGCTGGCCTTGATCGCCGTATCCAGCTCGTGACAGTTTCACCCATGACGAGGTGAACTATTCTAGTTCTTCAAGTCTTTAGATGCTTTCGTTTTCGTTAGGACGTTGCAAACAGCTACAGGAGTTTTCCGTGGTGCCGACTATGGAAGTGATTCCAGCCTGCCTTTGGTTGCTGTGGAGCTATGCCGAGAGCGCATTGTAAGTCGTTGTTCTATTGTTTTGCAACAAGCTGATCATGCATGATGCGTTTAGAGCGCACGAACTTCTGACAGGAGACGGTCCATCAGCAGCTACAAGGCACACTTTCCATCCGTCGACTTCTCACAGGCTTGTTGTTCCTGTCCCGAGACCTCTAATTCGAAACTGATGCGAAACCATTTGTAGATCGAAGAAGAAAGTGACGTGCTGTGGAATGCCGAGACAGCCGAATCCCTGGCAGCGATGCAGCAGCGGATCAGACAGTTCCTGCAGTGGTATGTGCCTCACAGCTGATCATACCATCCTTCTTACATTGTCTCTCCATCAGGCTGTGGGAGCGTAAAGAGGAGGAGATCGCGGTGGTTTCTCATAGCAGTTTTATGCGGAACATGCTCAAGCGCTCCAACCTTGTGTACGTAGCTCTTTGTTGGTCATGCTAAAATATCTGTGTTTTCAATCTTTTCTTAGGCTTCCCAACGCTCAGCTCAAGACTGTCCTACTCACTCGATCGGCGGAACAGGATTTTGAGCTTGTGAACGCTGGAACAAGTAAGCTGTAAAAGCTTTAGGACTAAGATCAACTACCTAGAAGCACATGGGAAGTACTTTGCAAATGCTTCGAGCATTCTCTTTCGGTACTGCTTGGGATGAAGTGCGCTGCGAGGCTTCCCATCCAGAGTCTTCAACAGGGCGACGAAGGCGTGCTTGACAGGCGTGAAATAGCGCAAGTAGTCAATGATCCCCACGACAAGCTCGTTCCTCCCCGGGACATGGTAAACCATAAGCGAGTAATCGAAAACTTCAGCCTCCTGGAACAAGAAAAAAAGCTTTGAGATTTCGGGTTTAGCTGCGTTTACCTGAAGGAAGAACGTGTCACGCGCAAGTATTTCGAAAAACGTCTCGTGATCTTTAGCCTGGAGTGTCAATGGGACTTGCAACGTCCCATCTGAGATGCCACCGGCTGGCTCTTGCAGTCCCTTGAGATCATACTCACGGTAGAGTGTTGCAGTGCTAGACAATGCCTCCATCACTAGAAGGATGTGCTCCGCTCCTCCCGGCATTCGCACCTGTAAAGAGAAACAGGTTTGGAAGCGGTAAAACTACTCATACGTAAAACTACTCGTAAAGTACCTTGAACGCAGCTATGACGAGCACAAGCATAGTGCGCAGCCTCTCCTCACAAAGAATATCAACATACTCAAAGTACCTGTCGCTTATCCGCTCGAAGCTGGCTAGGAGCTCCGCATCTACCTCTTTGATTACGAAATCTCCGTCACTTTGTGTTCTACTCCACAGCGCAGGGCTTTTTCCCGAAGGCATGGAGCAGTGCCGCGCAGTAGCGAGGGAGTTGGCGAATTCCGGATCTTGAGGGAAGCTGCAGCGCGTCCGGAGGTTGTGGAAGTCATCGGCACACAGGATCTCCACCTCCACGTCCCTGGGATTTGCCTTTCTTTGAGAGAAGACGATGTCTTTGCCACGCTTGACGATCTTGTACTTCGTGGGATTGGCATTGTTGCAGTGCTCGACCGCCAAAGCGACCCAGGGAGCCCACGCTGGCTGTGACTTGTCCATGAGCAGCGGCGATGCCCTGCGTTTACCAGAATTGCGGATGTCGGCCGGAAGGAGAACGTGGAGACCATCGGAAACACTGGAAAATCGATAGAAAGTGGAGATTACATGAGCGGAAAAAGATTGATCGTTGAAAGAAAACTCCTCCTCACCTCTCCATGCCCGGATCGCGGAACTGGCCGGAAGAAGAACGCCGGAAGAACGTTGGATGCTGCAAAATCTAGGGGAAGTGGAGATTATGAGGATAAATCGATGAAATGAGCGCCAAGAGATCGATATTTCGGAAAGAAACTCCAATCTCACCTCTCCTGGCCCGGATCGCTCTCGAAAGCCTCTGGAAACCCTCGTATGGACAAGCAAAATGCCCAAGGAGGTTTTAAAGGAAGGGTATATACCTAGGCTTGGAATATTCTTCAACGGTGTTGTCCAAGAACCCTAAAAACAAAAGGGTGAATTGTAGGGCTTAAGGCGCGGGGAATGGCGTCGGCTGCGAATCATCTCGTGTGGTGTGCCGCATTTCAGCTCGGCGCAGTCCGGCGAGCATCTTGCCTCACCACTTGCAGGTAAATCTTTGCGGGAGCTCGGTCGCCCATATCTGCTCGTGACTCCGTAGGTTTCTCGGCGTCTCTGAGACTTTGGTGCGGCAGCGAGTGCCTGGCGCTCGTCATCGGGCCTTTGCATCGTCTGTAGCGGCAGAATCCGAGACGGAAATATCGCCGCCATCGCCATCACCGCACAAAATTCCTCTCCCAACCAATGAGTCATGCGAGGAGTTGCTCCGGATGCGCCATACGGTAGTGTAACATCTTTTCGGGACATTTCTCAAGTCTTGAGCTCGTCTTCCTTGTTTAAATCTTCGCAGTGTGCTCACGTGATGGCTATGGCGGTCCAGACACTCTATCCAGACGCTAAAGTTACAATTGGGCCGTGGATTGAGAAAGGATTCTACTACGACTTCGACCTCAAAGAACCACTGTCGGACAAGGATTTGAAGAAGATAAAGAAGGAAATGGTAAGTGTTTGCTCAAGAATGTAAGCCACTGAAACTGGTCTTTAGGATCGCATCATTGGCCGGAATTTACCTCTGAGACGAGAAGAAGTATCGAGAGAAGAAGCCAAGGATCGAATTATGTCTATCAACGAAAAGTACAAGCTGGAAATACTAGAGGATATCAAAACAGAACCCATTACAATATACCACATTGGTGAGGAACATACTTTGCTTGCTCCTTCCCTCACTTCCTTCGAAAGTTTTCAGGCAATGACTGGTGGGATCTTTGTGCTGGTCCACACGTTGAAAGGACCGGCCAGCTTAACAGGAAAGCCATTGAGCTTGAGTCCGTCGCTGGAGCTTACTGGAGAGGTGATGTCAAGAGACAGATGCTTCAGCGGATTTATGGAACTGCTTGGCAGACGGAAGAGCAGCTCAAAGCGTATCAAACGCAAAAGGAGGAAGCGAAGAGACGTGATCACCGTCGACTTGGCCAAGACCTTGAGATTTTCTCAATCCAGGTAGAGGTTTTTCTTGGATGATATATCATTTCATCTCATCAACTTTTGGTACAGGAGGACGCCGGGGGCGGTCTCGTCTTCTGGCATCCTAAAGGAGCTTTGATTCGCCATTTGATCGAAGACTACTGGAAGAAAGTCCACTTGAGACGAGGATACGAGCTACTCTACACACCTCACATTGCAAAGGCCGAGTTGTGGAAGAGAAGCGGGCATTTGGATTTTTACAAGGAGAATATGTTCGAGCAGATAAAGATCGAAGAGGAGTTTTATCAGCTGCGGCCGATGAACTGTCCGTTCCACATCCAAATCTACAAGGACAGAGTGAGGTCGTATAGGGAGCTTCCCATAAAGTTTGCGGAGCTAGGTACGGTGTATCGCTACGAGCTGAGCGGTGCTCTTCACGGACTATTCCGAGTCCGGGGCTTTACACAGGCAAGTCCTTAACATTTGGAAGCTTCTGATCTTTTCTGTTAATGTTTCAGGATGATGCACATATATTTTGCCTTCCAGAACAGATTAGAGGTGAAATCAAGAGCGTTTTGGACCTGACAGAGGAGATCCTTTCTCAGTTTGGCTTTCAAAACTATGAGATCAACCTGTCAACAAAACCGGAAAAGGCTGTCGGTAGTGATGATATCTGGCACAAAGCAACGGAAGCTTTGAAAGACGCTATAAGTGACAAAGGTTGGACGTATGGAATTGACGAAGGCGGTGGTGCTTTCTACGGTCCAAAAATTGATCTCAAGATTGAGGATGCTATTGGCCGCAAGTGGCAATGTTCGACAATCCAGGTAACGCTTACATGATTCTGGCAGCTTATGTTTGATTCTCCTCCAGGTGGATTTCAACCTTCCCGAGCGTTTCGATCTTACATACGTGGATCCCAGTCAGGCCAGAAAGCAGCCCATCATGATCCATAGGGCGATATTTGGATCCATTGAGAGGTTTGTCGGCATTCTTATAGAGAGTTACGCTGGTGACTTCCCATTATGGATCGCTCCTGTTCAAGCTCGCCTTCTCCCAGTCACGGACACTGAGGTAAGTCGCGTTTGTTCTCTGTGGAGCAAGTATTCTAAAGAAACGCCTGTCCACTCTTGCAGCTGCCTTACTGTAAGCAGGTCCTGGCAAGGCTTAGAGAAAAGGACATTCGAGCAGAGATTGCGTGCGGTGAGCGGCTCTCCAAGCTGATTCGTAATGCCGAGGTTCAGAAGATTCCGCTCATGGCTGTGGTTGGTCCCAAGGAAGTCGAAGCTCAGACTTTGACTGTTCGCACCAGACACGGGGGAGAACTCGGCACCCTCAGCGTAGACGAGGTGATTGACAGAATCGAAACGGCCGTGGCAACCAGAGGAATTCTCTAAATCAAGAGCAAAGTTATAAGTTACTGGACAGCGTCACAGGTACTGGACAGCAGGGATGGAAAGTTATCGTCACAGGCAACTTCGAGCTTTGACGCTGGTATGTTTACTCGTGCTGTGCGTCCTGCTCTATGCCAGATCTGGAGGACAGGGTATTGATAGTGGTAGTGAGCAGCTGGGACCAATTGGAAAGTCCATGGTAGACATGCTAGGTGGACAGGATTTGGATCTGGCATTCACGAGCTTCGTCCCGAGCGAGGCCATTCTGGACAAGCTCGTAAAGCCCTCAGGAGAGGACAGTAACAGGGACGGGAATAGGCAGGCGCTGCTCTCTCGCTTGCTGGCTTCCAGCTCGGTTCCCAGCCGAATTAGTTCCACGAGTTTGAGGCCGGGCGAGCAGCTCCAAGTCGAGACCATATCCGGTTACAAGCTGAGCTTGGGGGTGGACGTGAATAGGGGCCTGGTGGTGAATGGGATGCGTTGCGTGGCCAGGGACCTGAGGATTGGAGAAATGCTCGTGGTTTACATTGTCAAAGGTGTGATTATGGACCCGGAATTGAGGAGATCTGTCCTTGATCTCGATCCAGACAGCACATAATGCAACATGATGCAGTAAGTGGTACGTAAAAAAATGACTGAACTAGAAAGAAAGATGGTAATTGGTTTTGGTCACTCACGCCGGCTTTAATTACAGGGATTGAACCTGGCTTCTCAAGTCAATGAAACCAGCTTTCAAGTGCTTTTAAAAACTTCTCTCCACCAGAGAAAGGATGGTGCTAGCTCTCGAGTGGTAAGATATTGTTTTCTGCAGCGCACACACACACACACACACACTCAGGTATGAGATCTCGCTCGGCTTGGCAACTTGTTTTGTAGCTCCGAAACCAAGCAGGACGATCTAGCGAATCCTTGAGAATAGTGGTACAGGGCATTTGCCTTTGATGAATTGCTTAATCTCGGGGTCCAGATCCCGAGCGTGTTGTTCCAGGAGAGATATGTGTGTCGCGCATCCAGAGAACATCTACACTTAAAACAACACTTTGTCTCGCGAGTCGCGACTGCGATGGCGCACAGTGGGGGTGGGGGAGTCACAAGAAAAATGGATGCAAGCCAGGAAAAATGCTTGTTTACTCGCTTCTATAATGCTTTGGAAGTCGAGAGTCAGGGCTCTCAGGTCCTTCGCGCTCCAGTAGCAGGCATCATAGTCGCGAGTCCCCATCTCTCTCTTTTCCCATTTCTTTATAGAATCTTAGTCTAGGATAAAAGCACCCAGAAGAGCTGGCGCTCCAGAGATTTGATCCCAGATCATATATATGTACGACTTTGCATGGTTGATTCACTCGCAAGGAAATGATGCTGGTTTAGGGTTCCTGGGATTGGAGTGTGTTACATTGTTGTTTGGTCCGTAATGCCGCCTAGGGTTCTTGGTTATAGGTAGCTATGGTGGTGGTGGTGGCAGTAATAAAACAGGAGTGAAAGTTAAAACTTTCTTTCACCAGCGCTCCAGGGAAAACGACAGTGCTTCCAGAGTGGGCAGAGCGCAGCCCTTTCATCTCTTTTTTTTGACCCCTCTCATGAAAGATGCAGTGCAGTGCTCTGAGTGAAAGAAATTTGATCCTTTTGGAAAATCCCTCCATTATTTTGAAAGAAAAAAAAAGGTGAAAAGTAGGTTTCGGGGGTGGGCTGGCATCGAACTCCGGACCAGGCGCTGCCATTTCGCTCTCCGCCGTCGGATCTATCCACATCGCGAGCGCCAAAGATTCGCGTGTCGCTTTCCCATTTAACTCTGGGGCGTATTGCGTAGAGCGCGGTAAAATACCCACTGGCGCAGGAGGTGTATTTGACTCGCAGGTAAAGAACTAATCATGCCGGCAAATGCAGCGCATTGGCGGATTTGAGCGGGCCCATTCTAATCGATTCTAATCGGCGGAATGGCGAGAATATTCCTCGTCACGAAATCTCCGTTTTGTCCGTGTATGCCCATCCAACGGCGCTGCGTGGCGCCACGTCGCCGGGGCACAACATACATGAACAAACGAGGAGAAGTGGAGGCGGCTATGGCCATGGCGATGGCGCCCTCTCTGTGAGGATCCCTCCCTATACCTACATTCTCTCTCCTCGGCGCTCGATCGCCTCCGCCAATCCTTTCTTCGTGACGGCGTATCGAAGATACTCTTCCTCGCTGGGTGAGAGCTCTTCCTCTCGCGATCGGATCTTCGCTAGTCGATCGAGCGAGCGCCGCTGGGCAGGGAGCGCCAGGGGGTTACCGGGATTGCGCGGGGGCCGAAATATTTTGGGATTCGATCAAGAATGCGTGCCACAGCCGTGACGGCATTGCGCCACTCGCGATCGATCGCATCATAGGGCCGGCCATGGCAACGGGCTGATTATCTATCTGGTACGCTCGCTTTCTTCGCTTGCTTGGAATCATAGACTAAATCATCGGTTACATTGCGTTCCTCACACAGGCCAGCGGGGAGTGGCAGCTGGACCGCAAGAGTATTTCTAGCTAGCGCTCGGTTGATCGAGCAGTGATCTCCATCCAGTTGAGGAAGAAGAAGCAAATGGCCCTGCCCTTGTTCCTGCTGCTGCTGCTGCTACTGTTGCATCAAGCGATCGACGCCGCACCCACTGCCGATGCCACAGCCGCGGAGCTCCAAGCCCTTCTCTCCTTTAAGCAAGCGCTCACTGGCGGCTGGGATGCTCTCGCCGACTGGTCAGATAAGTCCGCCTCCAATGTGTGCGCTTTCACGGGGATCCACTGCAATGGGCAGGGCCGGATCACTTCTCTCGAGCTTCCGGAGCTCAGTCTCCAGGGCCCTCTCTCACCATCGCTCGGGAGCTTGAGCAGCTTGCAACACATTGACTTGAGTGGCAATGCTCTGTCCGGGAGTATCCCCGCCGAGATTGGATCGTTGGGCAAGCTGGAAGTTCTCTTTCTCGCCAGCAATCTTCTCTCGGGGAGTCTGCCGGACGAGATCTTTGGCCTGAGCAGTTTGAAGCAGCTGGACGTGAGCTCCAATCTCATCGAGGGAAGCATTCCGGCCGAGTTTGGCAAGCTCCAGCGTCTCGAGGAGCTGGTGCTCAGTCGAAACTCTCTCCGTGGCACTGTTCCTGGCGAGATTGGATCGCTTCTCAGACTCCAAAAGCTGGATCTCGGAAGTAACTGGCTCTCGGGAAGCGTCCCATCGACGTTGGGCTCTCTCCGAAACCTCAGCTATCTTGATCTCAGCAGCAACGCTTTCACCGGCCAAATTCCTCCGCACTTGGGCAACTTGTCGCAGCTCGTCAACCTCGACCTTTCCAACAATGGCTTCTCCGGGCCTTTCCCGACGCAGCTCACGCAGCTCGAGCTCCTCGTCACCCTGGACATCACCAACAATTCGCTGTCGGGTCCCATTCCTGGGGAGATTGGACGTCTGCGAAGCATGCAAGAGCTTAGCCTGGGTATCAACGGTTTTAGTGGGAGTCTTCCGTGGGAGTTTGGAGAGCTCGGCAGCCTCAAGATTCTGTACGTTGCCAACACCCGCCTCTCGGGGTCTATACCTGCGAGCCTTGGAAACTGCAGCCAGCTCCAGAAGTTTGATCTCTCCAACAACCTGCTCAGCGGTCCTATCCCCGACTCGTTTGGAGACCTGAGCAACCTCATTTCGATGAGCCTGGCGGTGTCACAGATCAACGGGAGCATTCCAGGAGCTCTTGGAAGGTGTCGAAGCTTGCAAGTCATCGACCTTGCTTTCAATCTGCTGTCAGGCCGGCTGCCCGAGGAGCTGGCCAACTTGGAGAGGCTGGTGTCCTTCACTGTGGAGGGGAACATGCTTTCGGGGCCGATACCGTCGTGGATTGGGAGGTGGAAAAGGGTGGACTCCATACTGCTTTCTACCAACAGCTTCACGGGAAGTCTTCCTCCGGAGCTTGGCAACTGCAGCTCTCTCCGAGACCTGGGAGTCGACACCAATCTCTTGTCTGGGGAGATTCCAAAGGAGCTTTGTGACGCGCGGGCCTTGAGTCAGCTGACGCTCAACAGGAACATGTTTTCCGGAAGCATCGTGGGGACATTTTCCAAGTGCACCAACTTGACGCAGTTGGATCTCACGTCCAACAATCTCTCCGGGCCACTTCCGACCGATCTGCTTGCGCTTCCGCTGATGATCCTCGACTTGAGTGGGAACAACTTCACAGGGACACTCCCGGACGAGCTCTGGCAGTCGCCGATTCTGATGGAGATATACGCAAGCAACAACAACTTTGAGGGCCAGCTTTCACCACTGGTCGGAAACTTACACAGTCTGCAGCACTTGATCCTCGACAACAACTTCCTCAACGGCTCACTCCCTCGTGAGCTTGGAAAGCTTTCCAACTTGACGGTCCTTTCGCTCTTGCACAACCGCTTGTCCGGCTCCATTCCAGCGGAACTTGGTCACTGCGAGAGGTTGACTACCCTCAACTTGGGGAGCAACTCGCTGACGGGGTCTATTCCCAAAGAAGTTGGCAGGCTCGTGCTGCTCGACTACTTGGTGCTGTCCCACAACAAGCTCACCGGTACCATACCGCCAGAGATGTGCTCCGACTTCCAGCAGATTGCCATTCCGGACTCGAGCTTCATCCAGCACCACGGTATACTCGACTTGTCGTGGAACGAGCTCACGGGTACCATACCTCCGCAAATCGGTGACTGCGCAGTGCTGGTTGAGGTTCACTTGCGGGGGAACCGGCTTTCAGGCAGCATTCCCAAGGAGATTGCCAAGCTAACCAACCTGACGACCTTGGATCTTTCCGAGAATCAGTTGAGTGGAACGATTCCTCCACAACTCGGCGACTGCCAGAAGATTCAAGGACTGAACTTTGCAAACAATCACCTCACTGGCAGCATTCCCTCCGAGTTTGGCCAGCTCGGTCGCCTGGTGGAGCTCAACGTCACTGGCAACGCACTATCCGGGACATTGCCGGACACCATTGGGAACTTGACGTTTCTATCTCATCTGGACGTGAGCAACAACAATCTCAGTGGTGAGCTGCCGGACTCGATGGCACGCCTGTTGTTCCTTGTCGGGCTCTACGTCCAGAACAATCGGTTTACCGGGGACATCCGTGGCCTTCTCACTGAAAGTGCTGCATGGCACCAAGTACAGGTTTTGGATCTCAGCCATAATTTATTTCGAGGAGCGATACCAAGCAGCATCGGTAACTTATCTGGTCTCTCGTACCTCAGTCTCAAAGGCAATGGCTTCAGCGGTGCTATTCCTACGGAGCTTGCCAACTTGATGCAGCTCAGCTACGCAGACGTCTCCGACAACGAGCTAACAGGAAAGATACCCGACAAGCTTTGCGAGTTCTCCAACCTGAGCTTCTTAAACATGTCCAACAACAGGCTGGTTGGTCCCGTCCCAGAGCGATGCAGCAACTTCACTCCACAGGCGTTTCTCTCGAACAAGGCTCTCTGTGGCAGCATTTTTCGCTCCGAATGCCCGTCAGGGAAGCACGAAACGAACAGCTTGTCGGCGTCAGCTCTGCTCGGGATCGTGATAGGCAGCGTGGTGGCATTTTTCAGCTTCGTCTTTGCGCTGATGAGGTGCCGGACGGTCAAGCACGAGCCTTTCATGAAGATGTCCGACGAAGGCAAGCTGAGCAACGGCTCCTCCATAGATCCTTCGATGCTGTCCGTGAGCAAGATGAAGGAGCCTCTGAGCATCAACGTCGCCATGTTTGAGAGGCCTCTTCCGCTGAGGCTGACGCTGGCCGACATCTTACAGGCAACTGGCAGCTTCTGTAAGGCCAACATCATTGGAGACGGTGGCTTTGGGACGGTGTACAAGGCCGTTCTTCCCGACGGGAGGAGCGTCGCGGTGAAGAAGCTGGGCCAGGCGCGGAACCAAGGCAACCGGGAGTTTCTGGCGGAGATGGAAACGCTTGGCAAGGTGAAGCACCGGAACCTGGTCCCGCTACTGGGCTACTGCTCGTTTGGCGAGGAGAAGCTGCTCGTCTACGACTACATGGTGAACGGGAGCCTCGACTTGTGGCTGCGAAACCGAGCGGACGCTCTCGAAGTCCTCGACTGGCCCAAGAGGTTTAAGATCGCGACGGGGTCGGCTCGGGGCCTGGCCTTCCTCCACCACGGACTGGTACCGCACATCATCCACAGGGACATGAAAGCTAGCAACATCCTCCTGGACGCGGAGTTTGAGCCTCGGATAGCCGACTTCGGCCTCGCCCGTCTCATCAGCGCTTACGAAACTCACGTCAGCACGGACATCGCGGGGACTTTCGGCTACATCCCTCCGGAGTATGGCCAGAGCTGGAGATCCACAACCAGGGGGGACGTGTACAGCTATGGAGTGATCCTGCTGGAGATCTTGAGCGGCAAGGAGCCAACCGGGATCGAATTCAAGGACGTGGAGGGAGGCAACCTCATCGGATGGGTGAGGCAGATGATCAAGCTCGGGCAAGCAGCCGAGGTGTTGGACCCGGACATCTCCAACGGGCCCTGGAAGGTGGAGATGCTCCAGGTGTTGCAAGTCGCGAGCCTTTGCACGGCCGAGGATCCGGCGAAGAGGCCCAGCATGCTCCAAGTCGCCAGGTATCTCAAAGACATCGAATCCAACAGCTCGGCCGGATCGGTGGGGGTGGCGCCGCCGCCCCAAACTCCACTCCAAAGCGTCGGGGTTTGAGTTTAGTGATCTTCTTTCTCTTCTCATGTACACTACTGAAAAGCTTCATTGTTCTCCATAGCTGAGCTTCTGAAAGTACAAAAATTTGAATTTGAATCTGAATTTTAAAACTGTGAATTCTGGCGGGATGTTGTGCATACGTGGCGCTTGATGTGCCACGTGGACGAAAGGTCTTGAGTTTTAGGGCTCCTGGTGGAGATGCCCCCTCGCAGCAGCGGCATGGTGGATGATTCTGGACAGCGCCTGCGCAGTGTGGATCTGGAAATGCGGCGGTGAGAGATTGGAAGATGTAAGCGCGGGATCCATCGATCTTTGGTGTGTGAGTGACCGTGGCGTGGAATGAATTCCAGGAAGAATAAAAAGTGCGGGGGATGTGGGGAGGACCTTGACATCGCCAGGCTGAAGCAGGAGATCATCCGGATGCACGAGAGGGAGAATCACGACCTGTTGGATCACCTCAAGAGCCTCGAGAGTGCGATCCAGGAGAAGAAGCTCAAGCTTTTGGAGAAGGAGCTCGATGGCAAGCACAAGATCACGTGTGAGTACGAGTCCCGATGCAAAGACGACGATGGTGGGAGCATAAGTTTGAGCATCGACGTGGAGAAGAAGGATGGGCTCCTCCGGAAAGAACAAGGCAGAAGAAAGGCAAGCTCTTATCGTTTTTTCTTGGTCGAGATGGTGATGTGATGTTCTTCTTTCTCTCCTTTCCAGCAACTTTTGCAGCGTGTTTTGGCACTCGAGGATGAAGTGCGACGGGTCCAGCGGAGGAAAGAGCGCGAGAGGAAGTTTTTCGAGGTGGAGAATGATACGCTCCAGAGGAAGGCAACAATAGGTTGGATATTGGGCACTCTATCTGGTAATTCTGCCAAAGAGTGTGCTCTTCTCTCCATTTCTTTTCCTTGCTCGTTTTTCCTATGTTTTCAGTCTTGAATGAGCAGCTTGGTTGCAGATATCGTCCTGGAAGACAAGCCTCAAGGCGGAGCCGAGTGCATCATGAGGCTGGCACGCAAGATCCAGCGGGAGCTGGAGACGAGAGAAACCGCGGCCGAGCTGGACCGCCTGGAGCGGGAGGTGGAAAGGCTGGTCGACTACGCGGACTCTCGGCCGGGGATCACACTGGACATTGAAGGGAATGGGCCTCAGGTAATTTTGAGCTGGAAGAAGGATCATCACAGCCAGCAGAAGAGTTCGTCGCGTCGTTGTCGTCGTCGGCGTTGTCGTCCCTGTAGAACAGGCCAGTAAGCCAGTCCTCGAGAGTTTTCGCACAGTAACGGGTGTTAAGTTAGTTCCAGGAGCTTTGCAAAGATCGGAGCTTCACCTCTTCAATCCAGATGTAAGCTTTGCTTTGCTTTCCTCGTTTCTCTGCTCGACTAATCATCCGTGTGTGCTTCTCCAGAGAGACGACGCCAGCCGGCAAGCTTTCCAAGTGCTCGAATTTCGTCACCTCGTGCTTGAGCCGGGGCTCGAGTGGCATCAGCCCGAGCGGATCGAGAGGGAGGAGCCCCTGCTCTCGACCGTGCTCTCGAGGCGGCTCTCGATCCAGAGGACACAGCCCGAGAGGTGGCGGTGGTGGCTCCGTGGTGTCGGTGGAGATCAGCAGAAGTCCATCACCCTGCGCGTGCTCGGACGACGAGCCGAGAAGAAAAGCGCGAAGGCTTTGGGCGGAGGTGAAGCTGTCGAGCAGCCGGAGCGAGGAGGAGGAGCGAGTGGAGGCGGCGCTGGAGAGCATCCAGAGCAACCTCGAGTATCTCATCGACCAGGACAAGATGAAGCGATGGCAGGAGGCCCAGATCCGGCACTTGGGATACTACCCGCAGGAGCGACTGCCAAGATCGGCGCTGTGGTATCCGCCGCAGCTCATGTGATTTTCCACCATGATCATACAAGCCAAGAATTTTTTTTCTGCCAGAAACCATCTCCATAGTTACCCTTTTTAACGGGGCCCCTTTAGATTATTATATAAAGGGGGCGGGGTTAGCTTTAGGGTTTGTGTAGCTTTAGGGTTCGTGGAAATTCTAGGGCTTGTGATGGCGAGGGCGAAGAGGAAGCAGCGCAATGGCAAGACTGCCAAGGGGGCCGACGCTATGGCGCCGCTGCCGCCACTGCCGCCACTGCCGCCGGTAAAGAAGGAGGAGGGTGTGGAGATTGAATACGTCCCGGAGGAGATTGGAGGTGATGATGTCTTGGCCATTCAGTTTGTCAATGTGTTTGCCAGGTTTTCCGAGGCCAAAAAGGATGAATCGCAGCCAAAGGACGAGCAAGATGAGGGAAAGGTGAGGAAGGACGCCCACGCCCTCCTCCGCCGGGATTTGGAGGAGGAGATTGACGATGGCGGGGATATGGGAGGAGGAACGGGGGCTGGCAGCCTGGTGGATCCCAACAAGAAGCTGCCCAAGAGAGAGCGCAAGAAGAAGATCCAGACCAGGGTCGCGGAGCTCAAGAGCAAGTGCAGGAACCCGTCGGTGGTGGAGGTGTGGGACGCGAGCGCCCCCGACCCGGAGCTCCTCATCTATCTCAAGTCGTACAGGAACACGGTGCCGGTGCCGCGCCACTGGTCCGAGAAGGGCCGCTACCTCTCGAGGAAGCTGGGCAAGGAGCGGTCGAGCTACAATCTCCCGGACTACATCGCGGCCACGGGCATCGGCAAGATGCGCGAGGAGCTGCGGGAGAAGGAGGCGAGCAAGAGCCTCAAGCAGAAGCAGAGCTCCAAGATGAAAGGCAAAGTTGGCAAGCTCAACCTCGACTACCAAGTGATGTACAACGCCTTCTTCAAGTACCAGACCAAGCCGCGGCTGTCGGGATTCGGCGACATGTACTACTGGGGGAAGGAGGAGGACGACGTGACAGAGAAGCGGCGGCGGTTCAAGCCGGGAACTCTGAGCACCGAGCTGCGCAACGCGCTGGGAATCGGTCCCGGCGACTTCATGCCGTGGATCTACAACATGCAGACGTATGGCCCCCCTCCCTGCTACCCGGGCCTCCAGATCCCGGGAGCTCGCGACGCGCAGCCCATCTACGTGAACGAGAACTTGGGACTGGACCGGCGGCGCTGGGGGGATCTGGACGAGGAGGAAGAGGAAGAAGAGGAGGAGGAGGAGGAGGAGGAGGAGCAACAGGAGGAAGTGGAGGACGCAGCGCAGCTGATTGAGCCGAGCGAGGCTGGAAGCGAGGAGCAGGAGCAGCTGACGATCGACAGCGGCTCGGCGTCGGTGGTGAGCGAGCTGGAGCTGAGGAAGACGAGCAGCCGGTCGGCGGCGGTGGCTGCGGCGGCGGCGGTATCAGCCGCGGTGGCGTCCCAGCAGCAGCAGCAGCAACTCTACCAGGTTGTCCAGCAGGAGGGCGTGACGATTGCCTCGGATGCTCTCCTGGCGCCGGACCACCGATACATCGTCCCGGATGCTGGCTCCAAGGCGGCGGTGGCAGCTTCCAGTTCCAAGGCTGGCAATGCGGTGGCGGTGGGGCGGCGTGGCGGTGCCAACAGCCGGGTGGAGGTGACGCTGCGTCCCGAGGAGCTGGAGCGCGGTGTGGAGGAGAAGGACATCCGGGACAAGTACGAGGAGGCGCGGACCGCGAACCAGCCGCAGACCGAGGACTTTAGCGACATGGTGGCGGATCATGTGAGGGAGAAGAGCCGGAAGCGCAAGGAGAAGCAGCAGGCATCGGGCAGCAAGAAGCAAAAGTTCAAGTTCTAGCCGCGGCCAAGAACAAAGCAAAGCGGTGGTTCTTCTCGAGAACCTTGGAGAGCGAAGATAAAAGGTGGTGATGAGCTCTAGGATTTGTGTTGTATCGCTTCTGACGTTTTGGTTTTTCTATGATCTAGGATTGTTTCGTGATTTCTTCTCCAGTGAAGCTCTAAAGTATGTAGACGCGTGTTTGTTTCTTACAAAGTGTTTTATATTATTCTTTCTACAGTCTATCCATACATCGTTGTCATGGCGGGCATGGCTACTGCTAGTGGAGCTCCGCGGGTGTTTACGTCGCCCATGCCGAGCTATGGCGTCACCGCGCGCTCGCCGCTGGTTCTGGGCAGCAGCTTCGTGCCGCATTCTTCCTCGAGGACGATCATCGCGTCGCCGGCGCGGCTGATCTTCGAAACGAGCACGAGTAGGATCAGCATGGCCTGGGCGGGAAGCCTGGCGTCCATTCGGCTCGTCATCCAGGGCAAGCATTTGGAGGTGAGTGACGAGTGCTCGCACGATCGCTTTGCTACAAATCTTTTGGCGATGATGGGCACAGCTCACGGAGGCGCTCAAAGCTTATGTGGAGGACAAAGTCGGCAAGGCCGTGCACAATCACGCGTATCTGGTGATGGAGGTGGACGTTCGCTTGTCCGTGCGCGGCGGCGAGAGTGGCAGGGGACAAAAGCTCCAGAAATGCGAGGTAGTTCTTTCTTGTCTTTGGATCAATCGTGGTCGTGATGGATTCGATCCAACAGGTGACCATGTTTACGAAGAAGCACGGTGTCGTGCGAGCCGAGGAAGCGACCGATAGCATGTACTCGGCCATCGACCGGGTGTCGGACGTGGTGGCCAGGAAACTCCGCAAGATCAAAGAGAGGGACGGACATGGCCGGCGCTTGCCATCTCACGTCGGGGAGATCCTCTCCAGGGAATCGTCTAGCGCTCCTCCAACCCCGGCTGTGGAGGAGCCTGACTTTCCAGACGAGGTGAGTGAGCGATCGATGATCCACTGCTCTCTCGATGATCATTCTTTTGGTTTTGCTAGATTGTGAGAACCAAGATCTTTGACATGCCACCCCTCAAGATCAACGACGCAATGGACCACATGGCAAACGTTGGCCATGATTTCTACGCGTTCAGGAATGCCGAGAGTGGTAAGCTCGCGAGATCTATCGTCACGATTTCTTATTCCCATCTTCCACTTCCAGGCGAGGTGAACATCCTCTACAAGAGGAAAGAAGGCGGCTATGGAATCATCATCCCCAGGGAAGGCGAGGTGGAAGAGGGCGAGGAAGACAACAAGGATGCGTAGAGGAGGCTCCAGAGTTTTGGAAAAACAGGGATTCTCGACTGGCGGCCCGGATCAAGGCCTCGACGCGGCTCTCCAGCCTCCGGGAGTTCCACGCGCGAGTCTCCTCATGGACGTGTACAGCAAATGGGGAGGCACGATCGCCATTACGTTTTCTTGTGGAAAATCTTGCTGGTTCATCTCGCTCGAGCTACTGCCGTAGTTTGGAACAAGTGCATATGCCCACACTGGGTATATGTCAAGGCGGAAAAACTGTTCTATGCTCTTCGTGAGTTTCTTGAAACTCCATGCTTGGATGTTATAGCTAGAACTCTGAAGTTGTGCAAGCCACAATGTTGCTTGATCTGATGGCATGTGGAGACTTGGAACTGGAATCTCAAAAGAACCACGTTTTAGACGACGAACCTGTTCTTCAAGATCCGAAGCTACCGCAATCGCTCGTCTTGCCCGCAAGAGACGTGTTGTTCTCCACGATCTCCATCGCGATGGCGTTTCAGGTGGAAATGCGTCAAGGAGCTATGGCGGATGAGCAGCTTGTCGCTTTGAAGGGCACGATAGGCGGGAGGTCCACCTTATTCCCAATTCGTGTCAACGCTTCCTCGCCTGGATTCTCTGTCGGTGCCGAGACGCGTTCTTGAGACTCAATCTCTTGCCCCGGGAATATTCTGATACCCAGAATATTTTCTTGCCACGTAAACAAGTCAATTTAAATCGCGAGGGTTTAAGGACTAGGGTTCTTCTTATCATATAGTTGCCTTGATCGAGCATTTTACCGATAAATTCAGGCTGGCTGGGCCATGGATTGCTTTTGATCCTGGCGCGACGATCGATGCCAAGCCGACGATTGATACCGACGCAGTGATCGCTGATGTGAAGTAATGGATTGATCTCTTAGAATTCCAATTCCAATTTCTCTTCTTTTCTGCAGCACGAATGTCGATTGGACGAGAGCTTGGGTGCGGAGTGACGGTAGGGCTTCGTTTGAAGAACGAGAGCTGTTCATTTATCCAAGGTTAGGCTTACTGTAAAAATTGGGTTCTTTCCTGGATGATATAGTGGTATGTGCGTAGGACAAGGGGCACTCTCTTTGCCAGGAAAGGAGGCAGTCGAGTGTGGGCGAGCGTGAGGACTCACATACAGTTCACCGTTCAAGTTGAGATTGAATCTAGATGTCGTCTTCCAGAATTTCGACAGGCACATCAACTTGTCAACGACGTGAAAAGCATCATCGAATTATATTTCTCGACGCACGCTAAGGGACTGGAAATTCACATCCAGATCCATGACTACGAAGGGTATGTGTTCTCTAGATCCATAATCTTCATCCTCATGTCTTTTTGGTTTTTATTTTTGTATTGCAGAAGTGTCATTGATGTTTCTTTACTTGCTGCTATAGCTGCCCTCGTCTCCTTGGGAGATCAGCCTCTTACTGAAACGGTGAGTCAGCAATAAACTTTCTAGACATAATCTGGATTTAACATTTCCAGGTTATACATGATATCCCAGTTGCCATTACCTTTGGATTCTTTGCTGATGGAGGGCCAGTAGTAAGCTATTCGACCTTTCTTTCTTTTGCTGCATCCGACTGTGATATATTTCCATGTGTTTTGTAGGTCGTGGATCCAAGCGAACGAGAGGAAGCTCTTACGAAGAGTTCCTTGACACTGATTGTGTCACAAGCCGGAAAACTCCTTTTCCGGAAAAAAGAAGGAACAACAATATGGAGTGAGCAACTTTGGCGTGTGTTAAAATCTAGGATTGCCAACATGGTTATGTTTATAAAAGCATGGGTATGTCTCAGTATACTCTATCTTCCTACTGAAAATCTATCTGTCACAGGTTGAAAGACAAGAGAAGCTTTGTTGTTTCTACAGTAGCAAGCAGAAGCCTCCTGGAGCAGGGTTCCAAGGCGTGCAAGCAACCTGGTATGATTCATTCCAGCATTCAAATGAAGCTGAATGGCATTCTTTCAGGAAATACACACCCAAGATTCTGGCCACACCTGAAGCATCATCAATCTCTCGACAACTTCCTCTCTCATATTGGGCTTGTGAGCGTCAGGACTCGGCTGGTGAGCATTTGTCCATTCGGAGGATCGATGCCAGCGCGCTTCATCGTCTCCAGCTGGAACAGCGTAAGTAGCTTTTCTTTAGTTTTTTTGTTTATTTTTCACACAATGCAAGCTAACTGTAGGACGAAGAGTCAAAGGGAGTTATAAGCTACTGCAAATCACAGTCTGCTTCACAAACGGTAGAACTGCTAATGGTGGACCTACTAAGGTCTTTGTTGAGTTTCCCCACCTGCTGGTGAGTCATGGTACTAGTCATGGATGAATTATCTCTCTTGCCTTTATTATAGGGAGCTGTGAGTGAGAGAAATTATGTGGGTGACGCCTTAGTGAGATCGAGATCACTAATAGGGGAGTTGGTCTGTTCGCATGCTCTAGTACCACCCCCTTGGACACAAAAAGAACCTCCTTGGGATTTTCTACGACGTTTTGAGACAATTTGGAGAGAGCGCTACCCGAAAGAAGATATTTTCCAAAGCTTAACCAAAGCAAAACTCTGGTTACAAGAAGAGGAGAAGACTATGAAGGTATATTTTGATTCACTAAAATACTCTAATTTTTTAAAAACATTTTTAACAGGAGGAGCTTAAGCAAAGCAAACGGACCTCAAACCCGAAAGATGACCTGCCTTTTGAGCTATGCACAGGGGATGTGACGATTATTGGTTGTTACATCCCTTTTGTCATGGAGCCACTCAAAGAATGGGATCCCCCAGCGGAATGGGGCACGGAGGAGGAGGTTGAATTTCCTTACCGGTAACATAAAACTAACATGAATTTTACAGGAAGATAAGAAGGAGGAGGAACTGCTAGCTTTGATGTTTTATCCACGGCTAAAAGATGAAATCTTGGGGACGATGTTGGAACCTGGTTTGAAGTTGTTTGAAGTTTATTTCGGTCGAAAGGTTGGTAATGGGTGGATTTGTTATTATAAGAGACGAGACACTCTGAACTGGGAGAAGAAACATTAAGTATATAATGAACAAATTTTTTTCTTATATAAAGCCTGTTATGGGAAAGTTCAGTCTTGTATTAATCAACTAAAATTTTGAAAAAGTAAGCAACGAGACAAACTCCAAGTATTCTTTGGTAGTTTTTGTAAAATAAAAGACTAGATTAGTAAAATGTAACTTGAACATCTTAATGTACATGTACACATGATCGGCATTGTCAAGCCGCATGCCCGTGGCAAATACCGTAGCCTGGAATGCATTAATCACTGGATATGCCGAAACCGGGCATTTGGCCAAAGAGAAAGCATTGTTTGATGGGCTTCTTGCTTCAGACATCGTCTCTTGGAATTCCCTTGCCTGAAAAAATGACATAATAATGTATAATCTGGTGCCCTGCAGAGATCTAGTAACCTGGAACTCTGTGCTTGCAGCTTATGGCAAAAGTGGTGATCTAGAAAGTAACAAGCGTGCTTTTGACTCTATGCCGGAGGGGATATGGTCTCCTGGAAAAATCCTCTAGAGGCACACGAAATCGTTGGTTTTAGCGATGGAACTTCTCGTATGCTGGAAGAGATTTCCGTGAGAGACGTTTTCTCTACGACTTTGATCATCTCTGCAAATGCCAAACGAGGGGATATTCATAACGGGAAAGAAGCATTTAAATTGGCGCCGGTGTGCTCTGCGATGCTCGTCGCCGATCTGCACTTGTGTCGCCTGGATCGCGTTCGCGAGTTGCTAGAATCGATGCCGGAGCTCACGCTATCCTCTTGGAATGCGCTCGTTTGGGCGCTCGCGATGGCTCGTGATCATGGAGTAAATGCCGGAGAGACCAATTGAATCTACCAGTGCCATCGCCATCGCCCACGTGCCCCCGGGCGATCTGGATGCCGCTGCGGCGATCTTCCTTGGTGAGATACGTGGTCTCGTGGACGGCGGCCGTGGAAGCCTACGCCCATAAACTTGCTTTATTAAATTATAATATAGAGAGATGAATCTAGGGGAATGTACATATCCCTGTAATGTGTGCTAGAATCCTCCTCTTTGCCATGGAATGCTAGAATGCATTCCATGGCATCTTAGATTCTCCCAATTCAGATCACTTGACGCTGTTGCCCAAGCAGGCATATTTTTTAAGATTCCACTATCTGACGGAAGTTCAAGCTTCTACGGTGAAGTAGACAGGAATCAGGATTATACTATTTACAAACAAGGAGGTGAATGGTTCGACAACTTATACCACTATTCTATAGGCAGCGTTAGCCATGACAACAGAGTATTAGAGTGCTAACAAAGATGAAGTTTTAGATTATCCAGGAGGTCTTGAATGGTTTGAGCACAAGTTTGGTGACAGGTTCTTCAGTTTGATAGTCACTTATTCTTGAGATTTGCATAAGGAAGCAGAAGGAATTTGAATCTGTCCAAGCATATACTAATGCCCTCAGTCAAATAATAGTTTGGATTGCAAGTGCTGCTGATAAGTTCCACAGGCTCGAGGATCTTGTGGCAGTGATTTGTGGCTGCGCATTTGATCGAGATGTCTAAGTCAGCTGAGATCCGACAGGTTCAAGCGTGGCTGTGTGGAATCCGTGTGCTCAATCTTTGACAAGACCAACACATTCTCCTGGGGCACCATGATCTCGGCCTATGGCCAGAACAGTCATTTCAACACAGCGAAGAGCCTCTTTGACATGGCTCCAGAGAAACCTTATGATCAGCTTGTTCATCCAGAGTGGGGATCTCGACGCCGCAAATCCCATACGAGGGTGCAATGCTTTGATACAAGCGTTCTCCCTACCTAAAAGGATGGAAAATTGGCTGCCAAGTAAATTTTGGGATGTAATGAGAGATGCTTGAGAAATAGAGGTACAGGAATGCTTCAAAGATGGAGTAGAACATAGAAAAAAGATGGAAGAATCTTGTGATCAACTAAAACACAGTGTCTCTAAGTATATTTGGTAGTGGGAATGAAAAGGAGTGAATTAAAATTCAATCCAAGTTAGGGGCAGTTATAAAATTTCAAATTACTATTACCATATTTCAGATTAAATGGTTGGTTTCATTCATTATGACCTTCAAGAACTTCTTGTTGCATGCCAAAACCTCCTTTTCCTAATCTACCTTGCCCAAAGGTCTGGTATTAATCTAAAAACCTCTTTGATAGTTGAACAATTCCTTTGCCTCACTAGGCTTACTTGCTGCCTCTTGAGCTGCTACTATTAAAACTCCTTTTTTTAAGAATCCAAATTAGCTTTATCCAAATGATCTTTTACCTCAAGATTCACCACTTATGCTTGTTGTCTTTTACGAAATTAATAAATAATTCCAAAGAATATTCAATAGAACTTTCTATATTTAGATTGCCGAGCAAACCGTCCAAGCCGATGTAACGTAGTGGAATGGTATCTTATGGCAGCTGGCTGTTGCTTCTTTGGTATGTTTGACATTGCACTTCCAGTTGCTCAAGCAGCACCAACACTCTCCTCTTACACAACAACTCCACTAACTTCCTTCTTTCTCCCCCTAGGGGATATACCTATCACCATGTTTCCACAGCTCACTACAAATCCCTTTCAGATTCTTATAGACACAACTAAAAGTTGCTAGGCAGGCCTTCAGTGGGACAACTCCAGAACACTTTACCTGTATCTAGACAAGCTTGGAACACTGTGTTTCCACAACTAAAAGCAAACTATGCTAAAATTCCTCTCCAACTTGACTAAGGAATGTTAAATTCTAGATGTGGAAGAACTTTAAAACACACTTCTATAAACTCAAACAAATTTGAGAACACTATATTGCCACAGCTAATCATGAGCCACATAAAGATTTCTTACTTCTCTCTAGAATGAATTTCTCTAATGCTCATAAATGTCCAAGGGGTTTACTTTTACACTTCAAACTCCAAGCTTTTATACTCTCAAGCCCAAGATTCGTGTCCCACTACTTGAGATTGTCATGTCTGGATTTTTCATGTTTTGCCACTCTTTACTCATGTCCTATGGATCAATATTGCAATTGAGGATCCAGCTATAGTTCTTCTAAAAGGCTAGTGCTTTAATTCTCCCTATTCCCAGTTTGTGGAACAATAATTTCTACTTTGCCATGTGAAACAAACAAACAAATTTAATTTACAGGTTAAAGATAATCTATATAACTAATATTTGCAAAATGCAAATGAATATCTAAGACGCGATCATTAAAATCATATTTCCAGATATCCAACACTAACACTTTTTTTCAATCATCTTCAAAATCTAATGTGAAGCCAAAATATAAATTAAAAAATGATATGAAAAATAAAAAATAAGATAATGATAAAATTTTAATAAAATATATAAATTACTTAACACTATTGTAATGATTCTGTGCAAAGAGCTTTCTTCTCATTGTTTCCTTCTTGCATGGAATGCAGAGGGTTGGCATTCCTAGGTCCCGTTGAATGAAGGACACCAGCTCAAAACCTCACTGAAAAACACTACAGTTACTACTTAAAAGCAAGTGGTGGCTTCCTTGTTCCTAGTTCCATCAGGGTACACCTACAAGAAAAACCAAGGCGTTTGTGAGTTGGAGACTTGAGCAACCAGCAGACTACAGCTTGCCTCAGCAGTGCTTGAGTTGGCTGAATAACCGGAATTCAACTTGAGACAACCAGTTTGAAACAAGTTGAAGGCAAAGCACACTTGCTTAAAGTTACCTGAGATCTGAAAGATCCAATGCTCTGACGGTAACTCCAAATCAGGCTTTGCTTGATGGTGAGTCTGGCTGCTCTTCTAGCGCTGCTGGAGCCCGCTGGAGCTAACTTGGGGGAAGTAAACATCCTTTACAAGAGGAAGGAGGGCGGCTATGGAATCATCATCTCCGGGGAAGACGAGGTGGAGGAGGAGGATGCGCAGCCGAGGTAGAGGAGGAGCTCCCTGGAATGCGCCACGGCAATCTCTCTCACGACCAAGTTGTGGCACTGGCGTGCCGGATCAAGGCCTCGACGCGGCTTTCCAGCCTCCAGGAGCTCCATCCTCGAGTGGTGGGCAGCGGCAGCACGTACCTTGCAAATCTCCTCATGGTCATGTACAGCAAATGCGGGAGCCTTGCCAAGGCACAATCGGTGTTCTGCAGCATTGTCAATCCAAACGTCTTCTCCTGGACAATCCTGCTGGTTGCGTATACTAGCCATGGCGATCTTGAGCGAGCGGAGGAGCTGTGGAGCCGCATGCCCGTGGCAAATACCGTAGCCTGGAATGCATTGATTACTGCATATGCCGAAACTGGGCATTTTTCCAAAGCAAAAGCATTGTTTGATGGTCTTCTTGCTCCCGACATTGTGTCCTGGAATTCGATGCTTGCCTGTTACAACAAGAACAACGAAGTTGGACAAGCCATAGTTATGTTTAAACTGGTGCCTTGCAGAGATCTAGTAACCTGGAACTCTGTGCTTGCGGCTTATGGCGAAAGTGGTGATCTAGAAAGTACCAAGCTTGCTTTTGACTCTATGCCGGAGTGGGATATGGTCTCCTGGAACACTCTTGTAACGGCACATGCAATCGTTGGTTTTAGCGATGGAACTTCTCGTGTGCTAGAAGAGATGCCCATGAGAGACGTTTTCTCTACGACTTTGATCATTGCTGCAAATGCCAAACGAGGGGATCTTGATAGCGCGAAAGAAGCATTTGAGTCGGCGCCTGTCCGAAATGCCGTGACGTGCTCCGCGATGCTCGTCGCCTACCTGCAACTGGGCCGCCACGATTGCGCCCGCTGGTTGCTAGAATCGATGCCAGAGCTCACGCTCTCCACTTGGAACGCGCTCGTCTGGGCGCTCGCGATGGCGGGGCGAATGGAAGAGGCCATTGCGATCCAGGAGCAAATGCCGGAGAAGACGATCGAATCCAGCAGCGCCATCGCCATCGCCCACGCGCGCGCGGGCGATCTGGACGCCGCTGCGGCGATCTTCCTCTACGAGATGCCACACCACAACGTGGTCTCGTGGACGGCGGCCGTGGAAGCCTACGCCCAGAATGGCCACCT